CCATAATGCTTTCATGATGTCCCTGGCTGAGGATCTGATCTTCCAAGGGGCAGAGAACATGCAGGTCACTTAGACAGTATTAGAAATTGCAGTGCTTGTAATCTCGGACCTTAGGCAATAAATGTGATGTCTGCTTCTGACATCCATAGAGTCTGTTAAACAGACATGTATCTTAATACTAGAAACAGCTTACTCTGTATAAAAAAAAATCTGAATACTTTGTCCATTTTTAGTAACAATAAAAGGAATGATTCCACAATCACCTGTGCAGACACCAAGAAAGCAAGTATCCTCCTCATTCGCAAGATTTATGTTCTGATGCAAAACCTGAGTCCATTGCCAAATGATGTTTGCCTGACTATGAAGCTGTTTTATTATGATGAAGGTAGTATTTCTGTATTGCCTTGATTTATCAACTGTGTTCAGACATTGGAACACAATTCAAAGAAATATTTTAATATATAATCTTCACGGTTGCTGGGACTTGTTAAACGATGTTTTTTTGCATGTGTCTGTTTCTCATGACAATTTCTAAAATCCGAGGGGAACAGATTTGATCTCACTGTAGGAACGCAACCTTGTCACTGACTTCATTGGAGCAAGGATTTTGGTGTGTTTTAAAAACAAATTGAGTTTTCCTGAGTATGTTAGGATGTAACATGTTTGCCAGACTAGTTCTAGTTGGATCACTGTTTAAACGTCTGACACTAACTCTGCTTTCAGAATGCGTTATGGCTTTGTAACAAAAAATCAGAGCTTCTAGCTCATCTCTTTGCATACATAAACTGTTTCAAATAGCTTTAATTGGGTTTTGCCTGTTGTGTAGAGGAAAAAGAACTTCATTAAGTACAAGTTGAATATTGATTATTCCGCTCCACACACACACAATTTTTTGGAGTAGCTCTCTGAGTCTTTTAGCCGTACAAGTTAAATTAATTTTACAAGAATGTGTTTCATTCTGACACATTTAATGAATTCTTTTCTGCAGTTACACCGTCTGATTACCAACCTCCTGGTTTTAAGGAGGGTGAATGTGAGGGGATGATATTTGAGGGGGAGCCTATGTGTCTTAATGTGGGTGAAGTGCCAACGCCTTTTCATATGCTGAAAGTTAAAGTTACAACTGAAAAACAACGAATGGAAAATGTTGATAAAAGCATCCTAAAGCACAGAGAGACTAATCTGCCTCTCCAAGTGCTCAGAGTGGACAGAGATGATCCAGAAGACGACAACCAGGACATGAATGTAAGAGTGCAAATGTATTGTGTAGCTTGTTGAATTTTTTTGTGATTTATAGTCTAGAAAAGGGCCATTAATTGTTCTACTGCATGCCTTACTATAACATTAATAAAAAACTCTGTGTTTCCAGATATATTTAAGCAAGACAATATGTCTTCAGTACATTTTTGCTTTAATTTTACTGCTTGAGTTAGCAATCTGTCATTGTTAAAGCAGTGTTGAACAAGTGCATCAGGATGATGCCTGTCAGCAGCAGCATCGCTGGTGGTCATCTCTCTGAGAGACTGGAGAGGAGCAGCAGGGTGAGAAGCAGAGGGGCAGCTTTGTGCTGTGGGTGCGGTGTCACTTGTTCAACTCCAATCGCAGGATGCAGGTGACACCTCCCTGGAGCTGTCCTGTACCAGTCCCAAGCGAGCTGCTGCAGCCAGACTGTATTGACTGGCAGTAAATTTGCTCAGAGATCCTCATATACAGCAGTATACATATGGCTAGTGATGCCACAGCTGAAGTTAAACCAAACTTGATTCTGTATTGGGATTTTTCCCTCGGGAAGTCTGCCTAGAAAAAAGCACAAAGCGAAACTTGCTGAAGGCATGAGTGTGTGACGGACTTGTGCATCCTGCTGCTGACGGCTCTCGGGACTGTGCTTGTGCAGGCTTCAGCAACTGGAGGCATATATTTCTGGGGTAAGTTGAGGCAGGCAGCAAATACCTTCCGTCGTGTTAGAATGTGCAAATACGTGTGCTGATCTATACTGGCTATGGGTGAGAAGGAGGCGGAGCTTCAAGGCTTCTGGCCCCTCCCTCTCAATTAGCATTGCTCGGAATTAGCATTGTAGGTGATGTGATGGAAATAAACTGCTTTGCCCTCTAAATCTGCATATGCCTCTGAATTGCTGTTTCACAGGCAATGGGAAGGTGGTAATTGATGCACTGATAGTATTCTTTCAATATCTATTGTTACAATTTTAGTATTTTGTACAGATGTTTTTCTTGGTGGTTGAATTACATGTCTGCTTGCGTTAATAATTGAGTAATGCTGAGCTAGCCTGTACGTTCCATGTCAGATTCAATTATTTCAATACAGTTTGTTCCACTGAATCTATCTGTTAAGGTCTGGCCCTAAGCATCTGCGTACAAACCCTCTTCCTTATTTGTCTGCAGTAAGTGATAGATCTTTTTCTTAATCTAGGAAGGTCCTGTCTTGGATAATAAAGTGGAAGATAGGAATAATGTAAATATTTCAGAAGCTCAAGGTAACATTTGTGTATATTTTTCAAGTCTCTTCAGTTTGTGCCTCTTTTCCTGATGTTACTAAAACGAAAACTCAATTTTCTGACATAGACCACTATATTGAAATTTACATTCTATTTTCTTCACATACATCGCTATGCCTTTATTTTCTATCGTGGCTTTGTTCTGTAAAGCACTTGATTAGCACATGCACGTTTTCATGTTTCTGTTCTAAAATTCTGATCTTCTGTTCCATTTTATCAGATAAGCTAAATTTAATGGGTTATATATTTAGAAGTAAATTTTGTTGTTTGATTTTTCTATTATTGTTGTTGTTACTATGGTTTTACTAATATATTTAATTTCCACATAAAGCTCGCAGAGGTATTGTGCTCTTGAGCTCATTATTGCAGACTTGGGAACCAGAATTCTCTGTGCAAAAAATGGTCCAGGTCTATTTTTGTTTAAATCACAGCTGTTTGGACTGTATCCTCACAGCTTCAGCCACTAAAGTGTAGCAGAAATGCCACTTTTAGCCACCTTTTTTCCTTAAGCTCTGGATACAGTAGGACCATGGTCTGATTCTGCAATCAGTACGTCCTTCAGCCTGTGTGGTTGTGGAGGAATTGAGACCATTGGGGCTTGTGTACACAGAAGAGTTTTTACATTGTGGTGGACTGAATGATACCCATGTAAAAATACCTATCCGTATGATGCATGCTCTTCTGTACAAAGGAAGTTGTTCATTACTGTGGTTTGCTATTCCTGATACAATCAGTAACTTCATCTCAAAATATGTTTTGTTTTATGAATGACTGTATGATTATGTCTGTGCTGCTGGCTATTTTAGTGCCTTTTCTAGCTGCTTGGTTTCACAGCTTACTCTGTGGACCTGTCTGCCCTTTCCTCTTACTGCCTACATGGAGCATTTTGATAATTGCAAGTGAACTTTTTTAACTGTAGTTTTAACAGGTGCAAGTTCTAGCAAAGCATTTTTGTTAGTATGAACCTCAGCAAACTGAGTTTCCTCAAGTAAAATCCTAACACCGTAAAATCTGTCAATGTAAAACTACGCAAACAATGTGAGTAGCCGCAAAAAGCAAATGCCAGGTGGAAGCCTCTAAGGCAGCACTTCTCAAGAAGGTACCAAAAACATTTACTTCTGTTTTATTTTAAAAAAAGTTTCATATAACAACTTCAATAGGCAATTGAAATGAGAATTCTGCAGAGAATATAAATGAAATCTTATGTTTTGGAAGCATTCTGAGGACTCTTAACACTGCAAGGCAAAGCTGCCTTCTCCCTTGTTATCAAATAAATGATTATGCCCTGCTATGCAGGACATCAGGAAGTACCTGCTCACCCTTCCTGATGAAAAACAGCCATACCTGTCTTGTTGGATTTTTCTTAGCCTTTATAAATAGGTAGTTTCTGCGCTGTTTGCTTACAATCGTATAAATGTCCTCCACTGTAAGCTCTGAATGCAGAAGTGCCAATAAAATAACTGTCCTGGCTACACCAGCCTGATGACAGCTGCTACCAGAAGCATGCCCTGGAACCACTCCACTGTTTTGTTTTTTTTTTTTAATCAATGCTCCAATATGTGGACCCAGACTGTCTCCGGTTCAAAATGAGAGACAGCAAACTCTGTCCTCAGGGATCTCTGTGAGCAGAAGCTTCCCTTTAAGATTTTATTGAAACTAGGAGGAAAAGTAGATGACGATTTGTCTTCAGATTCCCCAAGATAGCCCAGGGGATCAAAGATTGAACTTTGCTACCAAACAAAGTGAAGAATGAATTGCTGCTTGTTGATCTGCTCATCTTGGAGAGGCTGTGTAGGAAGCATCCAGACAATACCAGTACGCATTTGCTGTACATAAAGCATTTCAAACATAGCAAAGAAAGATCAAAAGAGGAAATAAGTGCCCTTTTTGGAAGAAGATTAAGTAGAGATGATGTAGATGAGTATGCTCAGAAGTGCTCTGATCTGCTCATGTAAAATAGGATAGCCAAAGGAACACAGTTCTCGAGACTGTAAAGTAAAAAAACAAGCTTTATGACCAAAATCTGGGAGGAAAAAAAAACCCTTTATCTGGATGAGAAGCTTATGTAAATGCTTTTTTTTCTGTAGCAGAGGTTTCTGAGGAGATAATGAATATATGGCATTCCTAGAAGAAATGCCCATTAGTGCTGCTGCTTGCTCTGTTCACTCTTCTTAATGCATTTCCCTAAAGTTGCATCTGCTTTGAAATATAACTGTGGTTCTGCAGACTTCAGAAACACCAATTTTCCATAAAAACTTCCAGACACGTTGATTTCCACATAACTATAAAAGCGGCAACTGTGTCAGTGCTGAGGCTTTTGGTCCTCCCAGACTGAACAAGACTAGGAGCTTGTTGGGGCTACCGTGGTGTCTGAGTGCTTGCGGAGGCAGTTGGACAAAGCAAGTTGAGCCTGGATTTTATTTTTTTAAAATGGGTTGGAGTGTCCTGTCATTCAAGCCCAACACTGAACAGGCTGCGCTGTGTATTTAAATAGTGGCATTAATGGTTTTTTTCAGAAATAAAATGTGCAACTTTGCAAAAACAGCTAACATTTCCATGCTGCTCAAAAATAATCATGGAATTGTGTAGGAAACAGCACGTGTAGATTAGCATTTTTATCTTGACGATGCTAGTAGGCTGCAGAACTGGAATAACCACATAAAGCTGTATCTGGTGCTTTTAGAAATTCATAGAAGTTCCAAAACGATGCAAAATGCAGCAAATTGTTTGTCTTACGGAGTTGGTATAATGTTTTATTTACAGGAACTACAAGACATAGGAAAATGCATTTGTCGCCCTGAAATTCTTCAGTCATTTCCACAGCTGAAGCACAGTCATCTTTAACCAGTTCACGCTTATATCTATATCCTAGAAAAAACCCAGGATTTTTTCTTATTCGTCGTGGCCTGTTCATGCAGCTGCAGGCAGCGACAAGGGGAACTGTAGCTCTAGGAACTGCAGCCAAAGTTGCTTGGTTGTGTGTGGTTGGGTTACAAAATGGGAGCCATCTGCTGGCAGTGGGTTCAGAATATGCAGAAGCTGTGCCAGAGTGGCCCCACAGTGCCGTTTGCCCGTTCTGCAGTGCAAAATGGGCTCGTGAGGCGTTTTGCTTGGAAGCAAATCCCAATGTAGACAAGCCTTTAGCAGTATGGTGTATAAACGAGTTTGGGGATCAAGTCCACTCTTCCAAAGATCCTGGTGTAAACTGTACTAAAGATAAGCATCTCTTAAGTGTCTGTGATAGGAAGTTGTGATAGGAAATCGCTGAATTAAAGATGTAAGAGAGTGTAATGCTTGGTTTGCTGCATTAATAATGTGCAGGTGTTCCTTGTGGCAAAACATCAGTGTTAAGAGGCTGCTAGTGTGTTGTCAACAGTGTGCTTTATTATTTAACAACTCTTTTATAGAACCAAATTTAAGTTATGAGGAGGATGAAGTTACGAAGTCTGGAGGGAACCAGAATCAGCATGTTTCTAATCCTCAGGTATGATAACTGCACTCTTGTCTTAAACTTTTGCTTTGAGTGATTAATAGGTAATCTAGTGACCACAGTCAGTATTTGCAGCAATAAAATGCATTTACATTTTACTTCCCAATGTTTTTTGAAAATGATTAATCTTCTAAAGCAATCAAAAGCAATAATAAAAGGCTGTTTTCTGTGATACAGTTTTCAAACCAAACAGATGGTCTGACTGATATTAACGTAAATGGGAATATAATTTCCGAGTTTATAAACTGCCATAACTAAACACTCTGCCTAACAGATTTCTCTGCTAATTCTGACAGACCAAAACTTGATTAAAGGTTGATTAAAACTTAAAATGCAAGTTCATTACTCAGACTTAAAACTCAGGCTATATTCCCTGCATATAGCAAAATGGTGTAATTTAAATGTGGAGGACTACTTCAAACACAGGTCCTTAAGACTTCTCAAAACAGAATAGCCCTAGGTAACTGTGAGTGACTTACTGTATAAAAATAACTGATGCTTTGATCTGTCAGGGTTCTTTGACACGTTCAGCTGTAAATAGTGCTGTTGACTTCAATGGGTATACTCCTGTATTTAAATTTCAGCTTGAGCACTGTGGTGAGCAGAGGCAGAGCTCTTTGCATGCTACAGCACTGAACCCTGCTGTAGCCTCTAATACAGATTTTTTTACTGCTGTCACAAGGCAACATCTATTTTATGATTTTAGGTGGATCATTTGGCAAGTAAGACATCTGAACTTAATGTGTCAGAGAGCAGGACAAGAAGTGGAAAGATATTTCAAACCAGCACTGTTAGTATCGTTTTTTTCTCTAGTTCTGTTCTTTTTATTTCTGTCCTTCTTTAAGCCTTTTTCTGTTCCAAACAGTGAATAAAACTCTTAAGCTTTAATACATTTCATGCAGACAGAATGAAATTCTCATCACTTCTACTAAAATTCCCATTAACTTCAACACATTTGGATTCTTAGTGTCGAAGTCTGTTCCAAGGAGTTAAAAGCTGAGTGTTGATGTAGTTAACACAGGTTGAGAAAAATTCATTAGGATTGGTTTGTATCTTCTTGAGAATGCATTTAGCCAAATTCCCTGCTGGTTTAATCTGTTGTTGATAGGAGTGTGTGCCAGGAGAGATCCCCAGCCCAGTGTACCATATGCTTGCTAGTGATTTTACTTGGAAAACATGAGGCCAAAATTCCAACCTCAGACCTATGACTCATTCATACCAAGAAAAATCCATTATTTCTTTGCTTAATCACTTTGCAGCAGATGAGTCTTGTAGTCGGTGCTACCTGTGGGGAGCCAAATTCCTCCAGCCTTGCACAGGTGGAGCAGAAGTTGTCTTCAGGGTGGAGTTTGGCCTTTGGGGATGGCCTTGGGTGCCCCCGTTTGCCTGTTGCTGCTGCCTTTACCAACTGAGCTTGGTAGCTTCAGCTTTGTGAGGCTCTGGAGGGCCTTCACAAGACCTCAACATCCCTCTTACTGGTGAATGTTCAGGGTTACTGGTAGGTTCTTCTCAGAAAAAGCTGTGGGGTGAATACTACCATTCTACTAAATAAGTAAGTGCTCTTCATTTACAGTCAGGAGGGGAAATTATGTGTCAGGGCCAAGAAAAATCCTACCCTTCTGTCCCTGCTCAGGAAAGCTCTTTGTTAATTTTTAGTGCAGGTTAGGGAACAGTAGTTGTGTAAGGATTCATAATGTGCAGCTCAATCGTTGCCAGTGGTTTTCTCCTAAACTAATGGTTGCCTTATTTCTGTAAAGGCTGATGGAAATTAAGCTTGTGAGCATGCAAAATTCATTCCTCAGCAGAATGTTCTAAAGAAATCCAGAAGAGAAATTGGTCTGTGTCTTAAAAGTATCTATATATGAAAGCTGCATGCAGAAAGGGCTATCAAAGTTTGCAACGAATTCATGAAGTGGAGATGTTAAATTCAGAATATAGGACTAGTAGATTCAGTCTTTGTAAAGCACTGCTTACTGCAGAATAGCAGTAAGCCCAGCTAGAACTCAACCTGGCCACT